AAGAGTGCCAGAAAGCTTTCCTAGCGGGTGCCAGGGCCGTTCGATTGGCCCTAGAGGCTCGGTGCCTCCCTACGGTGGGATCCCCTTTAGAGAACTCCTGCTGGTCTCGGACACGACTTAGGGCATCCCAAGCAATCACTTGCCTGGGCCTCGGCCATGTCATGGGCTCGCCCATAGTTGTCCGACGACTGCCGTCCCGAGACGGTTTTCAAGACCATAAATGGTCCGATCTTGAACCTCCGGACCGAAGGGCTCGGCGCCCGGTTCCTTAGCTTCGGAAGGAATCGGTGGGTGGTTTTTCTTCCATCGGTACCGACAACGGCGCATCTTTTGAGGCGGTCTTCTCGGGAAGCTGCCGCAGCCAGAAAGTGGCGTCCTCCACCGCGCAGAATGGTCGGGCGGTCTGTCATCCTCCCGGCGGATCCTCAGGAGCGGTCTCGACGTCACCGTGGAGAAGCTGCAGATTGTTGGTGGACGCCGGTCTCCTCCGCCCGATCACCGATCCGACGAGCGGAGTGGATTGCTCCGGGAATGAGTCGGAACCGAGGCCACGTGATGGCGCTTACGTGGTGAGCTTGCCGTCTTCCACGAAGCGAGGCCTCGGCTTGCCGGGCGACCGACCGATTCATGCGGGCGCCCCGCGACTACTACGGCGCGGAGCTCCACAACTTCAGCCCTAACTCCATCGCACAGCGGCCATCTTCGCCGCCGCTTTGCGAGGGGTACGGGATCGCTTCCCCACCGGGAGCCGTGGCTCCATTTGTTTCGGGCGGTTTTACCAAGTCGGCGAGAGCGAAGGGGGCTCGGAAGGCGTTGAGGCGGCGTGGTCGCACCTTCAGTGCGGCAAAGACCTCTACATCCAAATTTCAGTGGTCATCATCCAACCGTCGTTGGTAGGCGGTGGTTCTACCTCCGTAACGGCGACGGCTGGGCTTCCCCTTATACTGCAGGCGGGTTGTGGAGAGTCATTGGGAGAAGGGGGTGCGGCGTCATCAAGCCCGATCAACCAGTGGAACCCGCCCGAGGGCCCCGGGAAGCTGCGTGATCGCTGGCCTTACTGGCCGTGGTCGTGGCGGCTTTTCACCGCCGGAGGGTGTTGCCGCCGATGGCTCGTGGGCGGCGCTGCTCGAGCCGTGACCCGAGCGATCCGATCGAAGGCATCAAGATGTCCGCCGCCCTTATCGATGAGGAGATCCTACGCCGGGTAAGGGAGGCGGTGGATGGGAAACCAAGATTGACGGCTTGATACCGTTCCCGGCGCGCCCGTCGCGCGGTACATTTCCTCGTAAGTTGGGTGTTGCCGAGGCCTTCGCGGTCTTCTTGCTCATTGCCTTTTTCGCCCGCTGCCTTATTTCGTCGCTTCGCAGGGATAAGGGGATGCGAAGCTCCCCGCCGCCCGCTCGAGGACGCCCAATGGCGAAGCCGTGAATAGGGCATACGCCGAGAGGAGCGTAAGAAGAAGAAAGACGCCAAGGTGGCAAGGCGCACGCGAAGAGGACCCTTGAGCGCGAAAAGCCGGACGACGCCCCGCAGCAGAGGCTCGACGGTCTCCGTTGAGTCGTCTCCCTCATTATCGGTGTCGGATTCCTCGGGCGACGATGGCGAGGTCGAGGAAGGGAAGGGTACCCTGGACCACCTCCCCGACGTTAGGGAGGTGGCGACCGGGGTGTCTTTGGTAGACGTCCGTCTCGTTGTCGAGGGCGACACGCCCGAGACGCGTGCTGTCCGCCCGGTGGGTTCGGCGAAGGAGGTGGAGCAAGCGACGCCGGGGACGGCTCAACCGTCTCTGCGGACGGTCGAGGGGGTGCCGGGGTCCGGCGGAGACCAGCCGGTACCGGGCGGGATCTGGTTGCGTGCCACCGCCGCCACCGCCGCCGTTGCAGAGGAAAACAGCCCTTGAGGACGTCGCCGAGGGGGGGGGCGCTGGGACACCCTCGAGCAATACCGTGAACTGGTGGTGCAATCGATGCAGACAGCGATGTCTGTTATGCAAAGGGACCTGCCCGGTGTTACCCAGGTACGCATTTCCCTTTCTCGTGTCGCGTTGTTTTTTCTCCGAGCCCCCCTTGCGGTGTTTGACGACGCCTTTGCTGCTTTCAGGAGCTCAAGACCCGGTCCCTTGGGAAATCGTTGTTCCCTCTGAACGGAGAGGGCGTCTCGGGAGCAGCTCCCGTGAAAAAGGGCTGCGCTGCCGACGCCCAGAGCTCTTGTCGGTGCAAGGAGAGTTGAAGTGGAGGACCTCCTTTCATTGTGTGTCGACCTGAAAGCCGAGGTGGCCATGGCTAAGGAGCATCCGCCTTTGGTGGCGAAGATCAAGGAGCTGGAGGAGGAGCGAGATTCCTCAAGTCCCGGGCCCAAGAAGCAACGGCCTCGCCAAGGCTATCGCCGGCAGCTGGTGGCATGAAGAGTGAACATCGCCTAACGAAAGTCGCTTTGGCGAGGCTACCAAGGCGGCCGAGGCCTCTCGAGTCGAGGCTTTATCCTGGAAGAACAAAGCCGAGGGTAAGTTCCATTGAACCGCGCTCCTTGTTCCGTTTGCTCTGTTTTGCGTTCGACCCCTGACTCTTTGTCGTGGTGTAGGTCTGGAGAAAGAGGCCTCCCAGGCGGTTGAGGCCTCCGTCGCAGCGCAAGCGGCGCTGGACGTTGAGGTCCAGGAGCACGAGGCTCTGCGCAGCGCCGCCCGTACCGCCTGCGAGGCTCTGGAGGTCGAGGGGGTCCAATCAGCCAGCTCCCTTGGGAACCGCCTGATTGCGTTGAGCGGCCGCGTCCACGAGAGGCTCCGGGAGGCGTTGCACATGGGTGTCAAGCGCACCCTGGCCGTCGTCTCCTCGCACTACGCCATCAACCTCGAGGCTGTCAGCGACGGCTACGTCTTGCCGGAAGATGACGAGGAGGCCGACGCAGAGGTCGCGAAGCTGATGGAGGCGGTGGAGGCGCTTGGCACAGCGCTGGGGGTACCCCATTTTCTGGTATCCGACACATACTTTATACCATCACAACTACAGCTTTGGCCTGACCGTTATTCATTCCACTTTCCACCGAATGATGGAAACATCTTGTCCCTCCCAGCTGACGGTTGCAGTAGGAATGGGACCGGTGGTGGCTTTCAGATACTTCAAGAACCTTTATCAGCCAAGTGCCATTAACATACTTCAGCAGATCGAGCAGAGCAATGGATACATCCAAACTTCTGGAAATCTGGAATCGGCGAGAGCCAAACTCACTAATCTACTGACTGGTTCGCGTAAAATCAGGGATTCTAATTATCACCCTCTGCTTTCAGATTCTGCGGAGTCTGCAAGGTGATCCCTTAGGCGGCAGCTAGAACTGACTAGGCTTACCGTACTAGCAAGACAGTCATACAGACGACAAAAAGTGAACTGTAACAGAATTATGCTTATTATACTCAAAATATTTCGTCAGGGTCAAGCTAATAATTGGTTTATTCATGTACTGACGTAACTTTGGTTCCCGTCAGATGTAGTACGTCCATGTAGCAATATTGCCTTTGTTTCTCAAGTTCTCAAGCAACGGAATCGATCAAGATTATTGCTTAGCATCTTGACAGTGTTAAGTTCCAAGCTGCGGATAATTCGACCATATTTCTCAGTCTGCCCTGTGGCACCGTCTGTCCTGTCGGCCTGTTTGAATTGCTGCTGCTTTGGGGTACGCACAACTCTCAACTCTCAAGCGTCCGATTTTGACTGTAGGAGCGCCTGTCTGACATGCGTAACGTCTAGGTGCTGCTCTCGAATCTAATGTTGGCGCAGGCAGCTTTCCCACACTGCCATCCAAACAGACCCGGGCAAATCTTCTATGCCAACGGCCCAACTTTCCGCTGCAGTCAGTGCCCCGGCTTGCGCAGCGCAGTGGTGGATGTCTGGAAACAGAGGTGTCCGCTGCCGGTCTACCACGACTCCCGCCTACGCTCGCGCCAAGCGCCGAGGCGCCGAGCCAAGTAACTCCGCCCTGACCCTAACGGCGAATTCACCCTGCTGGAGCTCAAGGGCGTCCGCTACATGCTCGACGGAATGCCAGGCAAGCAGGGTCCAGGTTTCTCACTCCCTCGCTTTTTCTGCTGCCTTTTTTCTTATGGGTCTTGTGCCTGGCACCCGTCGCTATGGCTGCGCCTGTGCACACGATACCCAAGTTGTGTTTGTATAGACTCGGTGGGTTCCATTGTATTTTCACTCAAACTAATGGTATCCCTGATGCTTGAACTGAGCCCATTTGTCGTAACTAAAACATACTATTCCCTGCAGAAGTGGCAGATTGAACAAATTGGCGTTTCTTTGTCATGGATTCGTTTTTCCTTGTTGACACCTTCATGGAGTTTATATGCTACAGAGAAGGGTTGGATCTAGTACATACAGGTGACTATCATATTCACTAGTTGGTCAAATAAAATTTCACACATTTTCCCTGTGCCATGTATACATTTTGGATCACGGATTTCAGTATGGCCCTTTTATCTGTAGTATGCAAGGAGGTGCAAAAGGCCTGAAGGTACAACACCACACGTCTGTAGGTCAGAACAAAGGATCATGGGCTCCACAAGATAATGAATCAACTGAAGAACTTGAAGCTGGCTTTGCAGTTACATGAGTTGATACCTCAGAGGAGGAATGGCCATGCATCTCATCCTGTTTTTCTTGTGGTCAAGACATGAAGGTAGGTTGATTTTTTGAGATTGATCTGTGCTTTCCTCAAGAAACATTATCATATTTTCGAGATTTATATGCAAACTATCATTAGGACTCAACTATGTAAAGTCACCCAAAAGATTGTTGGTTTGATTGCAAGATGTTGTATCGTCAGGGATAAATGTGTGTGACTGTCATATTTAACAGAGGGCTCCACTAAGCTATATGTGTCCGTTTTCTACGAGGGTATAATTGAACTCTTCAAGAAAACTTACGGCTTAGAAATAAACATGCGGACTGGATTGCAGAATACTATTTCTGTTATTTTGGCCATACCTGATAAATACAGTACAAAGTCTATATGTTTTGAACCACTGTACCATCTACGAAGATGTATGGAACATGGACAACCTTTGGCCAATCCGACCCATCTTTGGATACCGTAATAATCAGATCTCCAGTACAGTTATCAATTACCAACTTCTGAAGCTTTGGAGGAAGAGCATCCGGCAATGAGTGTAGGTTGTGCAAACCAAGAAGTTCTAGTTCCTCGATGGATGGCAACACAGCCAAGGAAGAAGGGAGGTGTTGCAATGTGAGGCTGCCATGAATGTGGAGGCACTTCAGTGAGGTCAGTTGCTGAAACCACAGGTCTTGGTCCTCTGAGAAATGTGTGGTGTTGGGTATGTTGTACATTTCCAGTTTGCAAAGTGATGAGAGGTTTCCTATCATCCTGAAGTAATCTCCATTCATCAAGCTATCATCAGTTCTGAGGTGGGTTAGAAGTTTGACACCCTGCTGCTGCTGCTTCTCATGCAAATTTTGCCCAAGGTTAGCTGAGACAGAGGAAGCACTGTCACTTAGGAGTTGAGGACAACCCTCCACTCGTGCGCTTCGCAGTTTGCAAAAGCACTGGAAACCATCAACCAAACGTAGCCCTTCACATTTTATGAGCTCAAGATTTTCCAGGGACTTGAACTGATGCGCGGACAGTACAATGCTGTGTTGGCAGTACTCGATATTCAAGGTTGTTAGGCACGCCAAGACTTGTAAACAGTTTGGTAATTCTAGGATGTAGTTTCCAGGGTTGGAGATCTTCAGCTCTTTCAATGCAGATAAGTGTGGCAGCCGTGGGAATTGTCTCAGTGATAAGCAGTTTACTAGATGAAGTTTCTTAAGGCATCCAAGGAACAATGATGATCCATAAACATGAGCTGCCGCTGTTGCTTCGTCTGGCTCTGTCCAATCCTCCAATTTCTCTAACCAATGAAACTCCAACTCTTCAAGTGATGGGAAACCACCAAAGGATGTGCCATCAATATGCTTTACCGACGGTAGCTTTCTTAGACTGAAAAGTTTGAGCAAAGGGAGATGGCCTAATGGGGGAAGGGTAGACAAGCCAATGCAGCTTTCAAGATTTACATGTACGAGATTGGCCAGGTTATCCAGCTGCAGCACCCAGTGAGGAAAATTTTGGTCCTGGTAGAATTTGATGGTTAGTTCCTGTATGTTTCGGTGTGGCTGCAATCCTTCAAGAACAAACTTGGGCACCTTTCTCCCTTCAATCACCAGGCTGCACAGGTGCTTCTTGCCCATCATTCTTGCTTCCATCGCCTCCTCCTTACTTCGCACGTTCTCGAGGCCGCGAATGCATAGTTGTCCAGTGAGCTCCTGCATGTTCTTCAACTCTCTTATCGTGAATCCTTGCCCCTTTCGAGCGATGAAACCATCCAGTCCTTGAAGTTCAGTGAGCTGTCCGATCCCTGGAATATTTGAGAGTGCTGAATTATCTACAAACAGATGTCGCAGGTTGCTCAGCTTGGTGATATTTTGTGGTAAGCTGTCAACATCATATCCCCGAAGATGCAAAACTTGGAGATTAACTGGGAGATCCTTAAACTTTGTGATCCTTGTAAATGACAAATCTAGGAACCGTAATTTTCTCAAACTCCTAGCGTTATTGGGCCATCCGCTCCCTAGAGCTTCGACATATGACAAGTCCAGCACACGGAGGCTTGGTGAATTCCTTAGCATGCCATCAAGAAGGGGAAAAAATGCATCACTTTCAAAACGACCAAATAGTAGGAGAGTCCGCAGATTTTTGTACTTGTGCAGCTCCTGGCACTGCTCCAAGCTACCAGTCTGCAAGGACAAGTGATGAACATTTTCCAGTGCTTGGGAAGAAGCTCCCCCTGCTCTTTCATCATGGAGGAAGCATTGGTCCACAGAAACGGCAATTGCTAAACCACGCACCAAATCATGCATGACATACTTGTTGTCGACAATTGTGGGTTGGAACAAGGAGCTGTCCACGAGCGCATCGAAGCATTGCCTCCCAACATCTTCTGGCTTTATACCAACTGCAATGTGTTTTCGCTGTATGAAATCATGAGCAATCCACATTTGAACAATCCTTTCCTTGTCAAACAGGTAGTTTCTAGGAAATATCGAACAGAAGGCAAAGCACTGCCTTTGTTGTGGTGATAGGTGCTGGTAACTGACCCTGAGGTAGGGTAGAATTTCCTGCAGAGCATCACTCAAGTTCCACCAGTCACTGTCCACAACCCTTCTCCAGTTAGCCTGGGAGAATCTACATCTCAGAAGGTTTCCTATTACTTTCGCCGCTAATGGAAGTCCATCTAGCTTCATTGCAATTTCTCTACCAATAGATAGCATGTTGCAGTTGTCTTCTTGTTGGGCAACTTCAGTGCCCCCAAATGCGTAGTACTGAAAGAGAGGCCAGAAGCTCTCCCATGGCAAAGCTTTCAGTTGTATGGGACGTACTCTGGCGATTGTTTGTGCAACCTTTTGGTTCTGAGTTGTGACAAGGAGAACACTGTCACATTGACGTGCTTCGTCAGATAATACAGTGAGTAGGGTGCTCCATTGTTGGCATATCTCTTCCCATACATTGTCTAGCACCAGAAAGAATTTATATCCTTCACAGTTCTTGCTACGGAGCTTTGTGATGGTGGCTTCCATGCTATCACAGCTATCCAAACCATTGTCCTCATATCCATTGAAGGAAAACAGGATCTCTTGTAAGGTTCTTTTGAAGCTGAAATGCTCTAAAACATAGACCCAAGCTCTCCGCTGAAAGTGTTTCTTCACCTCTGCATGATTGTAGACAACCTGGGCCAGTGTTGTCTTTCCGACTCCACTCATACCGACTATTGGGAGAACTATAATGTTGTCCCTAGCTGCTCTTGTTTTTCCAGTTCCACCGCTGGATCTTTCATGATCATGTGATGATGATCCAATAATCATCTGCAGGATAAACTCTGTTATCTCTTCCCGGCCAAACACCTGGACGTCTATGGGAAGCTGAGAGGTGGCCTCTCCAGCAACTCTTGCCTGCTGCTGGTTTGCTTTGTAATCATCCAATTTGAGGAGCTCAAGAAAAGTGTTCGAGGTTGCACAGAGCTGGGTAAGGGTTTTTACTACTTGCTCCAGCCTAATCATATCTCTATCAGGGATGACCAGATTTTTCAGAGACCTAAGGGATGACACTATGAGCTCGCTCACCTTGCGCTTGCCGGTGATGCTTGCCTCTTCAACCTGGAATTCGTCAAGTGCATCCTCGGCTTCCTGAGCCGTAGTATGTAAGAGCCTCAGCCATTGAACCAGGTTGGTGTTCGTGATGAGCCAGTTGTCTGCAGCCTCGCATATGGCCTTCACCATGGTCAGCTTGGTCTCCAGTTCGCTCAATAACTCCTTGACACGCTCTTGCATATTGTAGTTGCTCTCGAGGCACGCAGCAGCCTTGGAGGCTGCGCCATCCACGACAGCCGACAAGAAGCCACCGGCGACCAGCTTCATCGCCGCTGCCATCTTGATATACTTTGGGAACTCGATCAGGTGAAGACCTGAGAAGTGATCTGTAATGACCTGAACTTTGTGCAGTTAGGTTTGCTGTTTCAAGCATGTACTAATAATATCTTGTGGTTGGTTGAACCACGTTATCTAGTGGAAAATTGGCAGTTATATGTGGCGACATGCCTTGACTAGTCTGGATTTTGGACAGGTTCCGGTGGACGAAGTGTCAGCAGCAGTGAGCTCTTCTTTGAGTGCTCTTCTAGCATCACGTGGTGGTTTATGCTTGATCGTCAGTGGACAGTCCAAGGCAGTCTTTATCAAATGGTAGCTGAGCAGAGAAGGTCAACCCAATCTCTTTCTTCACGGGAGATCTTTATAATTGCTGCCTGGTGTATATGGAAACAGTGTAATGCCTACGTTTTCAATAATAAGTTGCCGTCAGTTGCTACATGGAAGTTGCTTTTCACAAGTAAAGTTAAACTTCTTCTGTACCGTATCCCAGCTCCTCTTCACCCCTTAGCTATGAATTGGTTAAAGAATCTGTAATATGTTTGTTTTTCTCCCTTATTGTTTAGCTGTCTTAGCTTTGTAATTAGGTAAGTCGTCTCTGGTTAGCTTCCTGCTAACCTTCTTCTACATGTCCTTTTCTCTTAATAATGCACTGGGGAGCTTTGCTCCACGGTTTTTAGTTAAAAAAAAAGTGTTGGCAGTGTGGCTAATTTCGTACATTGCATGGAGCGTTCAGTAGTCCCTGATTCTTCCTAGCTACTGACGGTTTAGCTTGCTAGCCACTGGCCAGAAGCATAGTCCCAATAAGGCACAGAGCCATTCGGGAATATACCTCCAGATTCGAGGATGAGCATGTCCCCTGAAAAATGAGTTACTAGCTCGTCTCTCATGAACGTCTTCGTCCGTTTGCTTGGCCGTTCTCTCCTCTGACCCTCCGGCGCCATCCACGCCTCGTCACACCGCCGTTTGCTCCCCTTTGCACGTCCAATCGACAGATATCCTTCCTTGGAATACTTTTCTTTATGAAAGGAACCTATGGGGAAAAAATTCCACACGTTATTGCCCACCTTTCCACAGACATGTGGGAGATTTCTAAATTTTAATAGTGACGTGTGCGAGATTTCTAGGTTTTAATAGTAAAGTAACTTCCTATGATCAAGATGGTTCTTCCCTTCTACCCTATGTCTAAAAGGTGACTGTTTGAACCGGCTGATTACACAACACGGAGTACTCTGTACCCTGTATCCTGTAAGAAGTTTATGCTTTTCCCATGACGCATAGCCATTTACTCGCATCATTTTTCATACATGTAGTTGGTTACATGCAGAGATCTACTCTTGGGCAGATTTAGTTCCCAAATCCCAACAACTAACATGCAGATGATGAAGCGGTTACGAAGGAATCATGAGAAAGAACACCCTTAGACCGAGGGAGGAAGGACCACCACTTGGAATGAAGCAGACTGCGACACATGTGCTCAGCGTAAGTCTTTTCTTTAAGCCTTCGTACCCTTGGAGCAGGGGCGAAGCCCAATAAAAGCCCATGGGTGCCCAGGCACCCCCTCCAATTCTAGAAATTCTTAAGAGCTAGCAAATTTTGGCCTTATAGGCACCCCATGGGCCAAGACGAGGCACCCCCACCAGCCCACAAAGCCCATTGCGCCACTTCTTTCTAGGCTCGCTTCCGGCCGAAGCATCGCACGTAGGGGGGTGGCAGACTCGCGGATCCTTGCTCGTGACACCTCGCCTGCCTCGTGAGCGGCGAGTCTGAGCCGCAGGGCGCTGCCGACGCCGCGTCGGTCATGCCAAGCCGTGCGCCCCTGCTGCCGTATGTCCCAGCGTCGGCGTTCGCCCATCCCAGCACCATCGTCCGCTCCACTCCGAGCCGAGCGCAGGGTCCGACTCGCTGGTCGTGGCCAGTGGCAGCCTCCGCCCTAAGCTCTGTCCGCAGTTCGCCTAGCCACCCTCTGCGGCTCTGCTGGCTGTCCCTGTCCATCCCATCGGCCATCACTGCCCCTTGCCGGCTGCCGGTGAGTATATTTGTAATTTTGTTTATCCTCAAGTTCGTCCTCAATCAAATTATTTATATGTGAAATTGTGAACTGCAATTTGCATTGATTATGCAAATGAATGAGTTATAGATAATCATGGAGAGGTATTATAGATGGAAAGCTGAAGAAGTGTGATGATTTGTTACAGAGAAGTTAACAATGAGGCTATGGTTCATTGTTTCAGGACCATGGAAGGAAAAGAGCGTAAATATGATCTCTAAGAGATAATGTAAATACAATGCATCTACTTTCAATGGATGATTGTACATTTTTTTTGCTAAATAATTAACCTATTTGTTCTCTTTTCTTTAAACATGATCACATATTTTGCTTTATGGGACATCGTTTGTTCATCATTTTAGCATTCTTTCAATCACTGCACTAAACGGTGAGTGTTATTGCCCTTGCCCCTACTAGTTTGCTTATGTTTTGACCAAAATCACATTGCCATTACTGGAAATTGAATTTTGATGTTAAAAATTATGAATTAGTTATGCTATTTGTTTGAACATCGTATGGGTCACTATATTCATAATGAAGTTGGGTATCCTCTATCCATTTGCTCCAGCTTCGCCACATGTTTGGAGTCTTTTTTTAGTCGGGTAAGTCTTGTTTCCTCGTGTACTCAGAGTTTGTTAACCCTGTTGCAGTTTCTGACTTATGCTACTAATCGAGGTAATGTCGGTGGGCTCGACATGATCTAGTTGTCCCTATCTCTCTCTTAGGTGCTTTACCTAAGTTATTTTCTATAGTTCTATCTAGCTTCTGAAACTTATTTACTTAAAAGGTACGTGTTTTGTAACCTAATGTTGTGAATCATCTGCACTCCGATGTATGATATTTTTGTACCAAATATTGTAATGTTGTGGTAACTTCATTGTTGATCATGTATCAGTTGTAAAAAGTGGATAATTCGGGGTTCCCCGAGGACACTCGACACTGGAATTATCTAGCTCTCGTGTGTAGCAAGGTATTTAGCACAATAACAAATACACGTGATCGATATCTGCCACAGTGCCTCCTCATCCTAGTCCTAGACGGACGATAGACGAGACGACGACTCACTCGGCTCGAGGGTCTCCCTGCTTGGCTGCTTGCTAAGAATTCATGGCTTCGGCCTTGTTTAGATTGCAAGTTTTTTCACTCTCTCTCCATTATATTAAATTTTTAGACACATGCATGGAGTATTAAATGTAGATAAAAAAATAACTAATTACATAATTTGACTGTAATTTACGAGACAAATCTTTTGAGTCTAATTAGACCATGATTGGATAATAATTGTCAAATACAAACGAAAGTACTACAGTGCCAAATACTAATTCCTAACCCCGATCTAAACAAGACCTTCACGAGCCACAAGGGGTCACCATCATGTATTCATCGTGGTGGTGACGTGACACTGCACTGTCTTGTGGACATTTCCATGTGAAAGCACGCGCGCTCACATCGTGATCAATGCTGGGCGTTGGCAGCTGGCACCGAGACAATGTACTACTATATCTGTCTCTTTTGAAGTGTCCATATGCTATTTTGTGATGGTCAAAAATTTTAAGTTTAAATAAGTTTATACAAAATATTATCAATATTTATATTTTTAAATAAATTTATTTTGAAAATAGATTCATTGATCTATTAAATGATACTAATTATGTACCATACCTATTAATATTATATATTTGGTTAAAATTGAGTACGATTAACTTCTCGAGAGGTGAGAACGACGGTTAGAGATGATAAGAGTAATAATTAATAATGTGAGACCAAGTCAGAGCAAGTTCAATAATAAAGCCAAATCTTTAGCTATAAGTTAATTTGTAAGAGCCAAAATATATATACAATTATTGTCTCTTATTATTTATATATAAAAAAACTTTTTTATTAGACTCTAATGTTTGCATGAGAGTCAGGCTTTTCTCTTTTCTCTTCTTCGCATCATCGTTTGTTGTGCTTGCTCTCATAAGATTCAGCAGATGCTTTTTTTTTACAACAGATTCAGCAGATGCTTGGCACTTGTGCTCGACCCTAGCTAAAGACTTGACTCGCTGCTCTCGCAGTTGCTAGAGCTAGTCTAAGGCGAATACGCATGTATTTATCTCAATCTACATGTGTTGAAGTGGATTGAAGTAGAATTAAACTAAGTTCTATTCCAATCCCACTGCAACACATGTGAATTGAAATAGATAGATACACATACATTCAAACAAGGCATAGAAAAAAAAATTCCACACGTTATTGCCCACCTTTCCACAGACATGTTCGAGATTCTAAGCGTAACTTCCTGTGATTACGATGCTTCTTCCCTCCTACCCTATGGCTAAAAGGTGACTGTTTCAACCTGCTCACTACACAACACGGAGTACTCTGTATCCTGTATCCTGTAAGAAGTTTATGCTTTTCCCATGACGCATAGCTATTTACTCGCATCATTTTCCCAAATCTCAACAACTAACATGCAGATGATGAAGCGGTCACGAAGGAATCATGAGAAAGAACACCCTGAGCCTGAGGGAGGATGGACCACTACTGGGAATGAAGCGGACTCCGACTGCAGCGTCCTGCGTCTTCCAGAGGCATGCCTCGCTCATGTCATCTCCCTGACGACTCCCACAGATGCGTGCCGTTCCTCAGCCGTATCTACTGCCTTCCAAGCAGCAGCGAGCTCTGATCCGGTGTGGGAACGCTTCCTGCCTCCTGACTACAGATCGATTATTTCTCGCGCCGACCATCCTGTAGATTTGACGACCAGCAAAAAAGAGCTGTTCCTCAGCCTCGCTGAAGACCATATCCTCGTCGACCAAGGCACTAAGGTATGAACATGAGCAAGCATCGAAATAAAATTTGATGTTTTTCAGTTTTTTTAGTTCGTCAGTTGTAGACTAAGAAATGCATGATGCACGGTGATCTTAATTACCCCTGTTGTAAATCATTGTTCATTTTAACTTTGTTCTAAGTCAAAATTTCTCTTGGTTTTACCAGCTTTAGATGATGAGAATATATTGATATTTACAAGTTCCAACAAATGAATTATCTAGACATATTTCCTGAAAATTCTGATTAATAAAACTGATTTGGTATTGTTGACGTTAATGTACTTTTATATAAACTTGGTCAAAATAAAAGAAGATTGATTTAGGACAAAACCAAAATGAGAAGGGGTACTTTGCTATTTTAGTAGGGAGTAATGATTAAATCAAGGCATTACCATCCGTGATCATGATGCAAACTGAGTCAAGTCGTTTTATGCTGTACTGTAAGAGCTTTTGGTTGGACCGGACAAGCGGCGCCAAATGTTACATGCTATCATCACGATCAGTACACATTACATGGGGTGATTATCCCTTATACTGGAGACGGATCTATTTGCCCGATTCCAGGTTTGCATCAATGATTCCTACCCTAACTTCTACATTTTCTATGGGTTGTATTAATCTGTATCTAGGCTGCAGGTACAATTTGCTCGTGTTTAGTTGCTTACATACTCTTATATAGGTTTATTACATAGTGTGACCAAATGTTGCATTAACTAGTACGCGTAAAAATGAAAATCCTCATCCGCATGCCTCAAATAGAAATATGAGACCTCAAACTAGAATATGAAGGTGACTTTATGTAATAAAATATAAACAACCAAACACAATTTATCAAAAGTAGATTGTTAACCAAACATCTAAACATTGCATACATTTACGCTGGTTTAGGTTATGCTGCGCATAAGATCTAATGCAGTGTAAGACTGATCATAAAAGCAACCAATGAGACCCTATATCTAGTAAGTGATCATTATGCATTCTAAGTTATGTATCTAGTGTCTCTTGCAACCAGATCAGTTTAATTATTTCTACTTGTTGCAGGTTTGAAGAAGTAGCTGAGCTCATCGCCGTCTGCTGGCTTGACATAGCCGGCAATATTGAGCGCACGGAGCTCTCTCCCAACACAAAATACGCAGCCTACCTCGTGTTCAGATTGGCAGATGAATCATACGGCCTTGACTGCCCAACGCAAGAGGCACGTATCGCTACGGGCGATCAGGTTGCAACGCGTAGGCTCTCTATGTACCCACGCACGACGCAAGCAAGAGAGGGCGAGCAAGGAGGACGGGCTGAAGACGAGAGTACCGTGAGCTACCCAAGAGAAAGGGAAGACGATTGGATGGAGGCAGAGCTGGGGGAGTTCTACAACCACCAAGGGGACACGGGGGTGGTCGGCTTCAGTCTCGTAGAGCACGTACAGCTCCACTGGAAGAAAGGCCTTATGTTGGAGGGAATCGAAATAAGACAGAAGAATTAATTACACTGGATCTAGGAATAAGCGCATTCATCATGTGCTCGATCACTATCAGGAGTCATTGGAAAAGCGTGGAGACTGGATATTTTACCGTCAAAACAAAAGCTTACATTGATGCAAATTACATAATATATCTTCTTACTCTTACCTTTGCTCACATTGGTGTATGATGCTTGGTTCGGCCAAGAGCAAAAGAATCTGAAGTTTCTTAAGTCTGTCTACGTTACATCCGTGTGTTTCAGAAGCAACTAGCACTCCGTTGTTACATCCATCTAAAACACTCGATTTCTATCAGCACCAAAATTCGGTTGTTTCACATAGCACTAGCACACGAATTCTAGCACCTTTGGTAGACATAAATCAGATGGCTGCACCTCTAGGTGCAGTGTTATTTGGTTCAGGAAGCTCTCACTCGCTTTCAGGTCTGCCTTAGCATCACCTCCGGGCCACTGTCTCTCGTCTAAGGATTGGGTGCATCAAAAGGACCAGTTCAGTTTTTTGTCAGATGTTGTACTGCATCAACAAAGGAGTTAGTAGTCAATGAATGGAGTCCTACTTTCTAGGTTCTCATGAAACCTTATAGAAATGACAAAAAAAATGTCAACCCTAAAATGATAGTATACTTGGGCTATGAAAGTAAAGAGTTTTCCTAGTGCAAGCTCTCTTAACATATGTTTTTCCTGCTTAATCAATTGTAAAAAGGGAAATAAATAGTGGGAAAGTTACATATAAAGACGGGATATTGCACATCATAAACACCATAATTGCATAAATTTAAGTGTGCAATTTTCTATTTATAAATGTGCAATCAAGAAATGAATACTAAACACAGCTTTCTTGTACTGGAATAGAATCAACTTAAAAGATGTGAGCTCCTACTATTCTACTACAACAGCCATGAAGAGGAGCCAAGAAGAGGATACTATAGACTACAACAATTCAAAATTCAGCTGGTGTACAAACCTCAGCATGGCTGCTGAAACGATCTCTCCATCCTTCTCCAGAACCATGGTGTACAACCCTTCGTAGCGTAGCCATTTAAATTCAGACATGTTTATTCAAGCACGAAACGTCTTCTATATAAACCACAGAATCAAGACCTAATATATAACTGAATGACATCTTAGGGTTTTTCGTACCAAGGGGACACCTCATGTTAGATCTTCAACAAAATTTCCTAAGTCATCTTCATCATCAAACAATCTAAATGAAGGTGCACTTGGAATATTAAAGTAGGGAGTGTTTTTAGTACAAGGTTTCTGAATAGTTGCTTTTCCTGATTAATCAAATGAAAAATCGTAAGCAAAATTGAAACTTATAGGTGAGAAGAATGGATATTGTACACGTCAAAATACCATAATTGCAGTAGTTTAAATATGCAATTTACTGCTAATAAATGTGTAATAAAAAATGGATATAACCAGTAGATTCAAATCAGGTGCTGTATTTTTAGCCAATTGATTTTCTTTTGAATGACTGGGAATAGTTTCTAGGTCTGAAACATGCAAGTCAAAAACAGTTTGGACATTCGTCGCTGCAACTAATTTCACATTGTCTTTGGACTGAAAACAAATAGAAAAAATGATTGTCAACCATCACATGATTAGAACAAGTACAAAAATTGTCACCATTTGCATATGCACCATAAGAATGGAAATCCTCCTCCTCCATGGGTACCTAAAAATATTAAAATTTAATCATCTACTATTTCAAAAAAAAAATGTGTGTTATTTCAGTAACTCACACAAGCTATCAATGTACTCAAAAATAAGTATACAATCCTACGACTACTGCTAGCTGAGATGTTCTCTAGACTATGTTCTGCTGCATATAGAATAGAAAAGAACACAATTGTTTCAAGCAAGCCACTTAATGAAAAATCAGAGCTAATAGCACTCTTAAACGGCTGCAGTAGCAAGCACGAGAAATATTTAGTCAAGTATAGTGAACAGGAGAACAAAGATGCATTCAATTTGAGATACTAGGACAAGGACAAAAATGAGGTGTGTATTGGCACAAATCACAATTAACAAAGTTCAAGATGTATTAGCACAAATCACAAGAAATAATTTTTTTATGGAAGAACAAGGACAAAAATGAGTGTGTGTTGGCATAAATTACAATTAACAAAGTTCAAGATGTGTTAGAACAAATCATAAGAAATGATTTTTTTCTATGAAAGGACAAGAACAAAAATGAGGTGTGTGTTGACACAAATCACAATTAACAAAGCTCAAGATGTGTTAGCACAAATCACAAGAAACAATTTTTTTCTATGGAAGGACAAGGACAAAAACGAGGTGTGTGTTGGTACAAATCATAACTGACAAAGTTCAAGATGTGTTAGCACAAATCACAAATAACAATTTTTTTCTATAAAATGGTAAGGACAAAATTTTGGTGTGTGCTGGCACAAATCACAGAAAAGAAAGAAAAAGGTGTATTAGCATAAATAACAAGAAATAATTTTTTTTCTATGAAAGGACAAGGACAAAAAATAGGTGTGGGCTTGCACTAAGTGGTACAGAAACGCCTTGCACTAAAAGTCAGTTAAGCACATTGTCTTACTGCATCCATACCACAACCATCTCACATGCATTGCACATTGGATCACTCTTGAGACCACCATTTGCAACAGATGTAGGATCTGTTGTCCATATTGAGAAACCATAGTCTTGCACTCCTGGCTGCTACACTAGCAACATCAACTTTTCATTGATTTCAGTAATTGTGGCCTGCATTGATCATATTAACTTATAAGCACTAGAGCAACACAGGGTGGAACACAAAACTGAGCCAATATGTCCCTGTGACTTCAAGAACTCATAGATGTAGATTTTTTATAAGGCAAATGGGTATTGGATGTGATGACAGTGGACTACAACTTATTCAGATTTCAGAGATAACAGTTAATATAGATTGTCAACATGTTTGAAAAGGAAATTGGGTCCCCTTAGTGACTCTTTTGATATGCAGGGTGGTTCTTCAAAAGATTTGGAAATGAATATTGATAGTTATTACAAATTTGATTCAAACAATTTAATGCCAGTTATACTCACGAGGTAAATCAAAATTCCACATTGCATATTATGACAACTAAAATTGCAGTGCTACATACTTGCAATTTACACTACTCCAGATTGCAACTAATGAAATTTGTGTTTTATTTGTATGTTTTTTATGAACAAGAGAGTTCAACAGCAGCAGTGAACTACAACTGCTATGGACAAGAACAACAAACACGTGGAATGAATGTGAGATTCAAAATTCATACCTCATTTATCAAAAATATGTGGGCACTAACAAAACATTACGATATTATTGTAATGATGAATGCAAATATTTGCAGGTTATATTGTCACAGGGTGATGAGTAGCAATGAGGATTAGCGATTTATACTGGCCATGGTCGAGATAGAGCAGTCTGAGTGAGGAGCGGTGCCATGATGGGGATGCCGATTGCCAATGACAGACCATTCCAGCCCAGTAGTGACATCTGGGATCCATCGATCACAATAGAGTGCTTGGTAAGCCTTTGGTACCTGGCCAATCAACAAACTTGGAGCGGGCATCATGTTTGGTTGCATAACAAGAACTCTGAATTGTAGATACAAGAGAATGAACACAAATGCAAATATAAATTTTATAGACTATAGATTAACACATCTTGAAAGGACATTTGTGAGTTGGGGTGTCAATATACATGCATTTAAGAATCAATAATCTCCCACTTTGCAATCAAGAGCAGTTAGTTGGCCTGCTGTATTTTTAAGTATGCCTTGCTGTAGCACCTACCAATTGGCTGGACCTACAGTTGGCCACCAATAGTTTATTAGGGTAAAAGCATAGAGCAGTCCTGTAAATTTCACTCTTATGGCTCCCTCTGCTACTTTCCCATCTCAGTAGTACCACCATTTCGATTTCACCACCAAATGTTGAACGTTACAAAAGATTTTAAAATAATTTATACAGACACACCCCTAAGAACTTCTTATTTGACCTTATCCTCCCAAGAAATATTGTGACGCTTACCATAGCTAACAAAGAAAAATGTCATCATCAGACAAATTGTTGCGTACCAACTTGGTGCCAAAGGTTTTGATGAGGGGGATAGAAGTCTCATTGATTTTTTAAGAAATTTGAACTTTGCAGACTTGGAGTCTTGCTGCTGACTGATGTCTTCGCCAGTGATTGGAATTCCGAAGAATAGGTGAACTGATTCTCGAGAAAAAGGGATTATTTTGCCTCCAACAACTATGTCACCGCAGTTCACATCGACTTAATCCACAAGCCATTGCACAAAGACTCTAGGAACTAAACATCCATCATACTCAAGCAAGATCCCAAACCCATGATCCCTGATAATGTTTTTCTTACGGTCATCCAATTTTCTTATTATGCCTCCAAAATACCTATTATTTCACATGCTTCCTGCTGTACTTGATGTACTGTTACCAACCATTGATTTTCTTTGCCCGTGGCTTTAACATTTCTAATATTATGGAAGCGATGAAAAAAGGTTTCTAGTTATGAAACTAATCATGAATTCACTAAACATGGTCTCAAAAAGCACATGCTACTGAATTTACCTTTGCTTCTAAACTCTAAATCGTTGTGATTTCCCTTTCTTCAAAAGACTTAGCAAGCGCAAAAAAAAGCAATATCAAATAGTTATAAAAGCTGATACACACAACTATGCACAAGTAATGAGAGAATAGTCCATGCATGTTGTCATAAATTTGATTAGTTATTTAGTTCTAAAAATATAGTGGCATGGATGATTCGAGTAACTTAACAATTTGAATAAATGTTAAGTTAAGCGAGATGCACAAGTTACGAGAGAAAGTGAGACAAAGCGTATTTTTGAGCATAGCAGCTACAATATAATACTATTAATTATTCAGAAGTTTAGACACTGAATTTCATATCCTATATAACCTATGACCCATGGATGATGGATTAGAGATCATTATATATTAATTGAGCACACACGATTTGTATATT